CAGACCATACAATTCCACGGCGCTCCAGCCCTCAGCGCCGCCTTCCCCCCCCCCTCCTCTCTCCGCCCCCCGCCCCCTTGGGCCTCTCTCCGCGCCTGCCCCTCTGCGCTTCGATCCTCCCTCCGGCCCCCCTTTGCCAGGAATCCGGCCCCCTGCCCGCCCCGATCTGGGAATCCGGCCCCTCCCCCGCCGCCCTCTCGGTCTCGCCATCGCTTCCCCTTGCACCCCCCCCCTCTCGATTTCGATTTCCCTCCCCCCTCTCTCGCCATCGCTTCCCCTTGCATCCCCCCCTCTCGATTTCCCTCCCTTCCCCTTCCCCTCGTCGGCGTGACCCCCCCTCATCTTTTGACCCCCCCTCCCTCTTTGCGAGGCACGGTGGGAGCGCTGCGGCGGCCTGGAGCTCGACCCCGTGCTCGGCAGTGGAGCGGTCGTCCTGATGGACGCGGAGTGGATGGTGAGGCGAGCGCGCACTGGCGGCGTCCTCGAGCCGCGCCAGGCGTTGCCGCCGACGGCCTTCGTGCCCCACAGCGCCGTCAAGGCCGCCAGTCAGTCGTTGCTGCACATCGCGTGCATATCACACTGCTGGCTGCAGGCGAACCACCCGGATCCACGCGGGCACAACCTGCGCATCGTGGGCCAGGCCCTGCAGCTGCTGCTGGGCGTTATCGGTGGCCGCTGGGGTGTATTCATGGACTTCTGCTGCATCCATCAAAACTGCAGGGACCGCGAGGGCGTTCCCCAGCAGCACACCTACCAGCGGCTCGAAGGCTCAGATTCGTTCGAGGACGATGCCCTCGGCCGCTTCGAGCTGGAGCATGCGCTCTTCAAGGAGGCATTGGGGAGCCTGGGGAGCTTCTACTCCCACCCCGCCACTGTCGTCTTCATGCTGACGCGGTTTCCAGATGATTACGGCGATGCTGCAAAGTACACCCGGTCGGGCAACACGGAGCAGTACTTCAACCGTGGCTGGTGCTTCTGCGAGTCCTCCTGGGGGATGCTGACGAAGCCGGCTAGCAGGCTCTTGGACCTCGGCCGATGCACGGGAGCGGAGACCGACTACGGGGAGTTGCTGCAGACCTGCCGCGCGGGGCGCCGGGCGCCCCTCCTGCCCGACGCCTTCGACGTGGAGCTGCAGAGCAAGGGTTTCACCAACGGCAAGGACGACCGGCCCCGGGTCGCCGAGCTCTACCGCTCCGCCTTCGCGCAGCGCTTCGAGGCCGCGGAGGAGCTGCTCTACGCCGGGCTGCAGTGGGGGGACGAGGAGGCGCAGCAGCTGGCCGCCGTGCTCGCCTCGGGCGCCGCGCCCCGGCTGCGGAGGCTCCACCTCGCCTACAACCGCGTGGGCGACGAGGGCGCCGCGCGGCTGGCGGAGGCCCTGCGCGCCCCGGGCGCGCTGCCCCGGCTGCGGGAGCTCAGCCTCTACGACAACCGCGTGGGCGACGAGGGCGCCGCGCGGCTGGCGGAGGCCCTGCGCGCCCCGGGCGCGCTGCCCCAGCTGCGGCTGCTCGACCTCCGGCGCAACCCGCTCGGCGTCGGCGGGCCGGGCCGGGCGGCGCTGCGCGCCGCGTGGGCGGAGGCCGGGCGCCCGGAGTGCGGCCTGTGGCTCGGCGACTGAGGAGGGCCGGGCGCGGCGCGGCGCGCGGCCGTCCGAGGCGCGCGGCGCGAGAGGCCTCGCCGCCTCCGCCGCCCTCCCGGGGCCCTGCCCCTCTGCCCTCCTCCCCTCCTCCGCGTCTCCTCCTTGCGCTCCGTCCGCTCCTCCGCGTCTCCTCCTGCCGCTCCTCCCTGCCTTCTCCGGCGTCGCTGCTCATTCCTCCTCTTCCTCCTCCTCCTCCTCCTCCTCCTCCTCCTCCTCCTCCCCTGCCTCCTCGTGCTCCTCCGGGCTCGTTTCTGTTCTCCCCCCGCCCCCCGTGTTTTTTGTTCGGCCCCCCCACCGGATGTCGTTCGGGGTGGTCTCTTCATTTTTGCCCCTCGGAGTTTTTTCCTTCCCCTCGCTGGGGGGGTGGGGTCCGGGGTGTCCCCCCCGCCCTCCTCTCGGGGTCTCTTTCTGTGCCCTCGGAGTCTTAGTTCTTTCCCTTGGGGTCGCTTGCTTTCCCCATCGTCTTCGTTCCCCCCCATCGCGTATTTTTCTGTTCCCTCCTGCTCCTCTTTCCTCCCCTCCTTCCTTGTCTTTGCTCCCCTCCCCGCGCCCTCTTGGGCCGTCTCGGAGCCGAGCTCTTGGGCCGTCTTGGGGCCCGTGGGCCGCGTGATTCTAAAGAATACGAGGAAGCAGGCCATGGGAGCCGCCCGGGGGCCGCTTCACTCGAACAAAAACTATGGAAAACTGTCCAGTAGACCGATTTGCCCAGTCCTGCCCCCTCCGCCGGACCCCCTCTCCAAAATGGCTTCGCCCCCTACGAAATGTCTCTCGCTCCGCTCTTTCCGTCACCTGGGCTGGACACTGTGAAGCCCAAAGAAGCTAATCTGCTGAACACGTACGTTTTTCGAAGGGAATGGGGCGATGTTTTGCCTCCTGGGGGCTCCCTTGGGGGCCTCCTGCGGCGTCTTGGGAGTCTCTTGGGCCGTCTCAACGCCATAATTATTAGGCCCTCTTGAAGCGTTCCTGGGCCGTGTTCGGGCCCTCGTGGACCTCTCCGATGCCGTCTTGGAGGTAGAGGCGCTCTTAGGCCTGACTTGGGCCGTCTTGGGCCGAAAATTGTCAAAATTAGGGCCATCAGACCTGGGGCCGGCACGGAAACGGAAAGGGCGCTGCAGCAACTTGACCGAAATTACGCACACCACCGTTCGTACTGGGAGCCTTGGGCTGGGCGCATGAGCTGGGCGGGAAGCCTGTGAAGGCTTCCCCAGACGTTTCACGTCGTCGTGCGTATGGGGGCGGGGACCTTGGTGTCAAAGCTGTGTCCGTCACTGGGCCGTGTGTGTGCCTCAGGCCGTTCGCTGTTGGGAGCTTTGGTGTGAAAAACTTTTTGCGTTACCGAACGCTCTTTTACTTGGCGTCTCTGGGCCTTCTTGGGGGTCCACCGCGACCCACCCGCGAGCCACCCGCGACCCACCCTGCGACCCACCCAAAATTTTCGGCGCCTGCGGCGGGTTTCTTTTGCATTCGTATCAGGTGGAGAACCTGCGACCCACCCGCGACCCAGACCGCTTTCAGTGTACAAATCAAAATTTTCGGCGCCTGCGGCGGGCTGTTTTTGAATTCCTTCCAGGTGGAGGTGGAGAGCCCGCGACCGACCCGCGACCCAAACTACATTCACTGAACAAGCCACAACTTTGGCGCCTGCGGCGGGCTCCTTTTGCATTTGTTCCAGGAGGACAACCTGCGACCCAAACCGCGTTCAGTGTACAAATCAAATTTTCGGCGCCTGCGGCGGGCTGTTTCTGAATTCCTTCCAGGTGGAGGTGGAGAGCCCGCGACCCACCCGCGACCCAAAGTAAGTTCACTGAACAAGCCAAAGATTCGGCGCCTGCGGCGGGCTTCTTTTGCATTCGTTCCGGGTGGCCCACCAGCGATCCCCCCCGCGCTGAACTTGTCAGAGCACGTAAATCGGCGCTTGCGGCGGGTTTGCTCGCATTGGTTTGTGAAAGCGCTCTCGTGACATTCCCCCGATCGGGCCCACGTTGACTCTACAACAACACATCGGCGCCTGCGGCGGGGCTGTGTCTGAACACGTTCATTGACAATCCAGTTGCCTGCTGCCGCGGAGGAGGGAAGGAGGAGCAGGGCGAGGAGCAGGAGGAGGAAGACGACGACGACGACGACGACGACGACGACGACGACGAGTACGAGGACGAAGAGGAGGCCGACGACGAGTGCGAGGAGGAAAGGGAGGAAAAGGAGGGGGGGACGGAGGGGGACGACGAGAAAGGAGGGAGGAGGAGGGGGAGGAGGAGGAGGAGGAGGACGACGACGACGACGGAAAGGAGGAGGGGTGAGGATCGGGATGGAGGAGGAAGAGGAGGAGGAGGAGGAGGAGGAGAAAGAGGGGGAGGAAGAGGAGGATGAGCAGGAAAAGGAGGAAGAGGAGGATGAGGTGGAGGAGGAGGCGGACGACGACGACGACGATGAGGACGAGGACGCGGACGAGGAAGAGGAGGAGGAGGAGCAGGAGGAGGAGGAGGAGGAGGAGGAGGGTGCCATCGACAGGGAAGGTGCGGGCCACGAGGTCCACTGGCTCGACGCCCGCGTCCGCCCCCTCACTCTTATCCGCAATTGCGGGGTGCTGCGTAGGGTGCAGGGTCCTTCAAACAGTACACAGAAGGTCCAGGAGGGTGGGGGTGTCAGAGGGAGTGTGGGGACCCAGCGTCTTGTTTTGTAGGGTGCATGGTCCCTAAAACAGTACACACAGAAGGTCCAGGAGGGTGGTTCCAAGAGCAGAGATCCCGAGGGATGGGCTGGAGGTCTGGGGATGTCAGACGTGGTAGGGGCAGTGTGAAGGTCAGGGTGGGTTCCAGACCAGGAATTGCCGTGCGGGGCGCGGAAATTACGGGGTGGGGGGCTAGAGAACAGGACGTAGTGTCTCTAACCCGGCCCTTCATTTCACACGCCTCTAGGGTTGGCGGATATGTGGGATGAGGTGAGACCGCGAAAGCGTTTGCGAGGGAAGGTTAGCCTCGCCGCCGTCGCCCTCTGCCAAACCCAGGCTGGCTGAGGCGACCTTGGGGGCTCGGAATTCTATTTCGTCTGCACAGACGGCTTCCCATCTAGCCTCGTCTCCCCAAACAAATGTAGATGTGTGGGTGCCTGCACACATACGTGCATCTTGGGAGTGGCTCCGTGGTGAGCCCAAAGCTCCGCAGGAGGATCCCACGTCTGCGGAGGGGCACACGGGACGGTGTGTGGGGGCGCGGGCACCACAGGGCGTTGTCGGGAAAGCCGAGATGGCTTCGAGATGGCCGGGCCAGAGAAGAGGCTCCCCAGAAGCTCCGAGAGGGCCCCAAGAGTACGTCCAGAGGCCCCGACCAGGAGAATTCATTTTCGCTGTTTCGATGTCCGGTTTCCATCCATGTTTGTTTTCGAAGCGTCCACGACGGCCCAAGAGGCGTCCATGATCGCCCCAGGACGCCCCAAAAGAACCACCCACGGTTTTCTATCCGACCCCCAAACCCAAGAGGCTTCCAAGAGAGCCAAGACAGTTTTTAAGATAGCCCACGATGGCTCCAAGAGGGTCGCACAGGCTCGCAAGAAACTTTCCGAGGGCCCCAGGAGGACATCACAGAGGCCTCCGACAGGCTAGCATCATTGATATTTTGCATGCGTTCTGCTTTGGGCGTCCTCGCCTCTTTTTGATTGAATGGCGTTTGCGACGGTTTCAGGCCTCCAGGATCGTCCCAAGCCGGCCCAACAGGGTCCCACGAAGCCCTCCAGCTGGCCCGAGAGATGCGCGCAAGCCAAGAGGCTTCCAAAAGAGCCCCAAGAGTCCCTGGACGTCTGCGGCAAGACGGCCAAGATGGCCCAAGATGGCACTAAGAGGATCGACGAGGCTCCAAAGACGCTCCGAGAAAGCCCCAGGAGGATGCCCCAGGGGCTCCCAGCAAGCGGCTTCGCTGATTCGTCAAAATTTTGCTTTGTGATATGTCACAGTTCTCCCCCTCTTGTGGCTGGTAGAGCGTCCACAAGGGCCCTGCAGGCCTCCAAGATTACCCCGCCACGGCTCCAGAGGGCCCCGAGAGGCTCTCCAGCGGGCCGAAAGAGCCCCAAGAGATCTTAATACGACGCCGAGATGCCAGCAGGACCCCAAGACGGCCTCAGTGGGGCCAATATGGCGCTGGCAAGCCTCCCTGGGGACTCGCGGCAGGCCCAGGGAGCCCACAAAAGACCATCACAGGGAGCCAAGGCCGCCCCCCTAACGCTCAAGAGCGCTCCAGTGTGCACAACCGCCGCTGCTCCGCGAGGGCCACAGCTCATCCCCACGACTCTCCTCCCCTCCCACCAGCACAAGAACTTCCCCACGAGTGCACACCAGTGCTGCCTGAACATGAAGCCCAGCGCCTTCCGGAACACGTCCGCCACGTCCGCCAGAGCCCCGCAGTGGGGGGGGCACAGGGGCATGAGCGGACGAGACGTGATGGCCAGGGTCAAAGGACAGGCGGAGAGGGAAGAGCGCCGAGAGGGAGGCGGAGGATGTCGGAAAAGGGGATCCTCTGGGGGAGCCTGCGGAGGCACCTGGGCACAGCCTGCCCTGTCCCAAGGTGGCTCCATAGTGCCTGGAGCTGCCCCACGGTGGTTCCCATAATCCCCCCCGAACGCTCGAAAGGCCCCCACTGGTGCCCTGGATGGCGCTCCCCCCTGCCCCGCCCCGCGACGGCCACAGGAGAGCCGCAGCAGCACCCGCCAACTGCCGCAAAGAGACCAGAAGGGGAGTCGGGGCGGAGGAGCGGGGCGTGCGCAGTAGGGTCATCAGCTGCTGTCACTGCTGCTGGTACACGCCGATCCTATTTCAAGAATCGATATGCTTTTGCTGTGGCTCGTTATTCTCTGTGAGGGCCTGAGCCCGATCTACTTCATCCGCCTTCCTACTTCATGTTTTTACCCACTTCTTCCGACCGACGGGTAATGAGCGTGGTGGGGGGTATCACGGGATTCTGGGGCGGGCCCAGGCTGCTGGGAATGACTTGCCTGGGGGGGCAGGGTATGCCGGGGCCTGCCAGCCAGGGCCTAAGGTCGTTTTCAACCTGTTCGGTGCAAGGTTGGACCACTGCCTTGAGTGAATGACGTAGGAGCGCCCGTGCGCTGTGTCTGGTGCATTGTCCACGACGGACCGCTGCACTTCCAAGTCTATAATGATTCGGATATTTGTTTCTCGGCGCCTACCCTACAGAATATGCCGCATCCAATACTAGGATTGCTTTCGACGCCTCGCCTCGCAGTAGCCTTCATCACAATTGCAGGCTGACCACGTGGCCTCAAGGTAGGCTGAGCTTGGTTCCAGAAGTATTTTCCATGTGCTCATCTGTTTCCATCCGTGCGATGAGAGAAGTCGGTGTCGGTCGAGTATCTCTCTCGACGCGTACCGAGCACGTCCGTCTTTTTGCCACAGGGGGAAGGAGACAGAGCTCGAAGGGCCAGCTTTCCCCAAAAAGTGAGTGCCGTACCGTGGAGGACTTCGCTCGACTCTCCTGTGGTATCGGCTGCGCGTGCCGGGGTTCCGCCCGGGGCCCGCCTGGTGGGCGCCCTCCCCAGAGCTCAAGCGACGCCCCTCGTGCTGGGAGAGGGCGTGCCTGGCTTTCGCCCTGTGCCCTCGTGCCCGCCTGGCGCTCGTGGCCGCCTCGTGGGCGCTTCGTGCGCTGGGCGGTGTGGAGGGGACGAATGGTTGGGAGCCATGAAAGAACGGGACGGGAGGAAAGGCGAGGAAGAGACATAGGGAGACGGAGAGGAAGGGAGGAGGAGGAGGAGGAGGAGGAGGAGGAGGAGGAGGAGGGGGAGGAGGAAGGAGGAGGAGGAGGAGGAGGAGGAGGAGGAGGAGGAGGAGGAGGATGCCGAGGGTTCGCCCGGCGCCCGCCCGTGATCGCCAGGTTGGGCGCTGCGTAATGGGGGGATCGTAAGTGGGGGGGCGGCGAGTGTGGTCCGAAAAGGTACCCGAATGGTACCTAAACGAGCCCCCTGGGGCTCTGGAGGGGCCCGAAAGGGGCACGATAAGGGGCCCTTTTTTGACCCCCCCATTTGTGACCCCCCCATTAAGCCACGCCCAAGCCAGGTGGCCGCCTCGTCGGAGCCTCGTGCGCTGGGCGGGTGTGCCGACGTTCCGCGGCGTGCCCGCGCGTCGGCGCCTCGTGGGCGCCTCGTGCAGCGGGCGGCCGTGCGGTTGGCACCGCGCAGTTCTCGCCAGGCGGCTCGCTTGCACCACGCAGCTTGCACCGCAGAGCTTCTCGCACCGCGCAGCCTGCGCCAAACGGACTGCACCGCGCAGCCTGCACCGAGCAGCCTTCACCTCGTGGCCTGCACCGCACAGCTTGCCGCCACATGGATTGCGCCGCATGTGTCGCATCAGGGCTTGCACCACATAGCTTGCACCGCGTAGCTTCCACCACATGGACTGCACTAGGAACACATTGATTGCACCACAGAGCTTGAACATTCACAGTGCAATAACTTACATTTTGGGGTCCACGCTGGTAAGCATGTGTCCTTCACTCTCCTCCTGCCTCTCCAAGTTGATGGCCTTGCACGTCAGCAGGCCGCTGACGGGAGCATTAGTTCGCCAGCAAGGTCGAGGGATCTTCGGCGCCAGCAGTGAGTGCGTCAAGCGTGTAAACTTGGACGCATATCTGCGGTATTCGAGGTGCCGGCGTGTGGAAGACGCTCTCCGTTCGTCGTCGTCGTCGTCGTCGTCGCCGTCGCCGTTCCCCCCCTTTCCCCGGGCCCTCCCCCTCAAGCGCGCCAGCCAACGCGAAATTCAGCAACGCCGTAGTTGAGTGGAAGGGGCGCCCACACCGTGTGGTGAGTCGGTGGGGCTTCGGGGTCCCCGCGCAGTTTTGGGACTCGAGGCCCTCTCCGAGGACGTCTCGGGCGACGGGGGCCTCCGGGGTCCCAAGAGACCGTGCGGCGACAGACCGTGCGCTGAGGCTTTGGGGGGGTATCGAGAGGTCACCGCACGGCCTGCCGCCGCCACCGTTTCGGGACTCCAAGCTCCTCCGCGCTGGAGGCCTCCTGTCGCCGTCCGAAGAGGGCTCCCCGGATCCCGCTCGCCGTGGCTGCCGCGGCGTCTCTTTTTCGGCCGCCGCCCCTCCCTTGAAGGCCCGGCGGGTCCCGCTCGCGCGCGCCGTCGTGCGATGTTTGCGCCTCGTTGTTTTAGTGCTTCTGGGTCCCTGGGCCCCGCTTGCTCTGGTTGGCGCGGCTCGCCCATCGCCTCCGCCGTAAGGTCCCGTGTCCCGCTTGCTCTGGCCGCTGCGATGTTCGCATCGCCGCCCCAGGGTTCCTGGGCCCGTGGGTTCCGCTTGCTTCGGCTGTTGCTACAGAGCGCCCTGTTTCCGCTCGACCTGTCTGCCGCGTCAGTGTGCCCGGTCCCCGCCCGTGGGGGTCCCCCCGTCCCGCTCTTTTTTTGGCTGTCGCGAGTGTCGCGTCGTGGCCCCTGGGGTCTCTGCTCGGGCTTGCCCTCGGCTGCCGCGCCTCTCTCCGGCCGCTGCCCACCAGAGGAGAAGGAGGAGGAGGAGGAGGAGGAGTGTAAACCCAAGTGCCATCAACGATGTTGGAATTAACCCTCCCTCCAAGCTCCCTCTTCACAGGCCCCTACAACGGTTCATTTCCATTGAGGGAATTGCCTCGTTTGAAGACAACCGTCGGAAGATCCTGAAGCATGCCAAAAAATTGTTCTCGGGATAATAACGCCACGTATCAACCTGACTGCTGTAGCTTGGCGATCCGGAATCGTGCCATAACGCCATTGTTTGGATTTCAACACTGCGAACCAACATGACTGTTGCACCCGCATAATCTTGAATCCGTCCAAAACACAAGTTTTGATACGTTGATCATGGGAATCCATGAAACTCTTGCAACTGTTTAAAACGGATGTGCGCGGCGCTACGGCGAGAGCCACATTTTGAAAAGGAGCGGCCCTCAATCCGTGAAGTTCTTGTAATTTTTGTAAGACGATTTGTGCGCGGCGCTAAGGCGAGAGCCACATGTTGAAATCCACCCGCCCTCAATCCGACTGCAAATGTTAAAAAACGAGTGTGCACGGCGCTAAGGAGCTCAGGCGAAACGCCCGGCCCGCTCTAAAAACTGGCCTCGGGGTGCGACAGGGAGGAGTTGTCTACAAGGAGGAATGGAGCAGGAGGAAGAGAAGGAGGAGGAGGAGGAGGAGGAAGAGGAGGAGGAGGAGGAGGAGGAGGAGGAGCAGCAGGATGAGGAGGATGATGATGATGATGATGATGATGATGAGGAAAAGGATGAGGAGGAGGAGGAGGAGGAGGCGGCGGCGGCGGCGGGCGGGGGGCGGCGGCGGAGAGGAGGAGGAGAGGAGAAGAGGGAGGGGAGGAGGAGAGGAGGAAGAGGAGGAGGATAGGGAAGGAAGGAGGAGGAGGAGGCGGAGGAGGAGGAGGAGGAGGAGGAGTGTAAACCCAAGTGCAGGAGGAGGAGGAGGAGGGAAGGAGGAGGGAGGAGGGAGGAGGAGGCCCTGGCTCCCGCCTGCCTTCGGCTGCTGCGACGTGCCTGTCGCTGCGCGCGAGGCCCCGGGCCCCACGGGGCCAGGCCGCCCGGCCCTCGCTGCCCCTCGCCCTTGCCGGCTGCTCCTCCTCCTCCTCCTCCTCCTCCTCCTCCCTCCTCCTCTTTCTCCTCCCTCCTCCTCCTCCTCCTCCTCCTCCTCCTCCTCTTTCTCCCCTCCGCCTTCTCCTCCTCCTCCTCCTCCTCCTCTACCCTCCTCCTCTGTCTCCTGCCTCTTTCTCCTCCTCCTCCTCCTCCTCCTCCTCTGTCTCCCTCTTTCTCCTCCTCCTCCTCCTCCTCCTCCTCTCCTCCTCCTCCTCCTCTTTCTCCTCCTCCTCCTCCTCTCCTCCTCCTCCTCCTCCTCCTCCTCCTCGCTCCTCCTCCGCTCATCCTCCTCCTCCTCCTCCTCCTCCTCCTCCTCTTTCTCCTCCTCCTCCTCCTCCTCCTGTTCCTGGGGCGGCGTGCCCCCTGCTGGGGGGCGGCTGCCGGCCGCGCCCTGGCTGCCGCGCGTGCCTCGTGCGCTCCGGGTTGCCTCCTCGTGCCTCTGCGCGTCCCGCTTGTCTGCTTCGGGCTGTCTTGGCGGATCTGGAGCGCTGGCCGGTGAGCTTGCCTGCCCCCAAGGAGGAGGAGGAGGAGGAGGAGGAGGAGGAGGAGGAGGAGGAGGAGGAGGAGGATTTGACCTGGATCCTGGACCCCATGGGCCAGGTCCTCTTCCTCATTCTCTAGGCCTCCTAGATGGGGTCGGAGTAGATGGGGTCGGAGGATCGGGCCGTATCGGCGACGCATCGCCGATGCGGCTGGATGTGGAGCCCGATGTGCGCCACGTCGACGTCGCCGACGTCGACGATGCACCGCCGGTGCACGATCCTCCGACCACATCTACTCCAACCCCATATAGGAGGCCTCTATGGTGCTGGCCTGCTTGCCCACCCTTCCCGCCGTCTTTCGTCTCGGCTGCGCCTCTGTACCTCCCGGGTCTTTTGTTCGTTCGTTCTGTTGTCGATCAGTCGGCATGTCACCGACCCGTCCCTGGGGTCTGTGCAAGGTCTGCAGGCTTAGGCTTGACAGCTCCCATCGCCCAAATCGGATGAGAGTGCCAGCCTGCGCAGAGCATCGTGCTGCCGAGCGTGTGTACGAGCGAGAGCGAGATGAGCAGACGGACGAGAAGGCAGGCTGACCGGGTGGTAGCAGTCCACAGTCATTTCAAGCTCCTCGCCTTGTATCTTGCCTGGCCTCTTCTGCCGCGCTTGCCGTTGGCGTGGCGGCATCGAGTTGGTTGCCGCATCTCTTTGTAGGCATATTCGCATGCAGGTGGTGAGTTCGTTGCCCAGCTGGAAGTTTACCATCGGCATCGCCATCACGACCGCCCCCACTACCACTACCTGCACCCCCCTGGCCAACGCCGTCAGAACGGGCAATGCTGTCCCCCCCCCTTGTCCCACGTAAACTCGGGCGGTGGTGCAGTGGCGAGGGGGCGTGCTTTCTTTTCCCAGGCGGGGGAGTGCACTGCGTGCCGCGTTCCCATGTTTTGTTTTGCCCCCTCTCCTTTCCTCCCTTCCCTCTCTCCTCCCTGTTACTTTCTTCCGGTCGCCTTCGCTCCTGCGGCCTTTCTCCCCGCCTTCTCCTCCCCAGTCCTCTCCCTCACCTGTACCTCCTTCTCCCAGTCGATCCTCTGCCGTATAAGGCACTCTTGAAGCCCACCTCGGGACATCTTCGGCCACGTTGGGGCCATAGTCGGCCATCTTGGGGGCCTCAGCGTTCGGGAGATGCGTTGACGAGCCCCCCCCTTCAGGAAACCTGATTCTGGACTTCCTGGGAGGTGTTGGAAAAGGGAGAAGAAGGGCAGCCAGCGTCTCGCGCGCCCTGCCATCCCTGGCAAGTGGGATCAGCGGATGTCAGGCGGACGGATGGTGCGGTATTCACTTTCGCACATGACGTCTGGCGCCCCGCAAGTCCTCTGATGATAGTTTGGCCCGGCTCCCAGCTGCTGGCAATCACCTGAGGCGTTGTCATGCCTCTTCTCCCTCCTCCCATCGTGCTTTCTCCTCCCTCCTCCCCCTCCTCCTCTCTAATCCCCCCATGGTGCACCTTCTCCTCGATCCTCGCCCCTCCCCTCTCCTCCTTCCTGCTCTCCGTCCTCTCCGTCCTCCCCGGCCCCTCTCCTCCCACAGTGCCTCGTGCTCCCTCCTCTCCTTCCCGAGGCCTTGCCGCCCAGGCTCGGTGGTCGGCCTCTCGGAAGACGCCGGGGCCCGTCCACGGCCACGCGGTCAGTCGAGAGCTCGCCCTGCCCCAGCCGCGCCGAGAGGGAAGGGAAGGAGGAGGAGGAGGGAGGAGGAGGAGGAGGAGGAGGAGGAGGAGGAGGAGGAGGAGGAGGAGGAGGGGGAAGGAGAAGAAGGAAGGAGAAGGAGGAGGGGGGGAAGGGAAGGAGAGGGAAGGAGGAGGAGGAGGAGGAGGAGGAGGAGGAGGGGAAGGAGAAAGAAGGGAAGGAGGAGAGGGGAAGAGGAGGAGGGGGGGATGGAGAGGGGGGAGGAAAGGCCAGGTGCGCGCGCGCGCCACGTTGCGCATTTTTTCTCTATCCGCGGACGCGTGTGGTCGCCGACCTGCAATCCAACAGCAGAAACACCTCGTGCTATGCGAACTTATCGAGGGGGTGAGGAGGAGGAGGAGGAGGAGGAGGAGGAGGAGGAGGAGGAGGACTGAGGAGAAGGAAGAGGAGGACGGAGGAAGACGGAGGATAGAGGAGGGAGGAGGAGGAGGAGGAGGAGGAGGAGGAGGTGAAGGAGGTAGGTGGGAGGGGGGGAGGAGGGAGGAGGAGGAGAGGAGGAGGAGGAGGAGGAGGGAGTGAGGTGGAGGTGGAGGAGGAGGGAGGAGGGATGAGGGAGGAGGGAGGAGGGAGAGGGAAGGAGGGAGGAGGGAGGAGGGGAGGCAGGTGGGCAGGTTGGGAGAGGGTAGGAGGGAGGAGGGCAGGAGGGAGGAGGGTAGGAGGGGAGAGGAGGGAGGATGGGGAGGAGGGAGGAGGGAGGAGGGAGGACGGGAGGTGGGAGGAGGGAAGTGGGAGGAGGATTAGGAGGGAGGAGGAGGAGGGAGAGGGAGGAGGGAGGAGGGAGGAGGAGGAGGAGGAGGTGGAGGAGGAGGAGAAGGAGGTGGAGGAGGAGGGGGAGGAGGAGGAGAGGAGGAGGAGGGAGGAGGAGGAGGAGGAAGGATGTGGCGCGTGGCAGGTGGATGTGGGGTGAAAAGGGTCGCGGTACGTAAACCAGCATGCAGCAGATTGGAGCGGAAGGAGCGGGAGGAACAGGAGGACCAGGGGCAGGCGGAGGAGGGGAAATGAAGGGGGCTACGACGATGACAGGAAAGACAACGATGAAGAACGACTCGGATTCAGAAAAGTGGCCCGTGCTGGGGCGAGAGCGCCACTCTGATTTGCAGTAGCAAGCGCCGATCTGAAAACGAGGCCTACGCTGCAGCGGGAGCACCATTTTGAAGCACCGGAGGAAACTGGATTGTGAAACACAACAGAAACATTTTTCGAAATCCTGTGTGGATCCAAAATCAGCACGCGGAGAGTGTCGAACATCTTCTGGACGGAGTCCGGGGGGAGAGGAGAATAGTATTCTACAGGCTTGCGCCACATCCGCCGACCCCTATATCTACGTAATGGCCTTCGGCCCATCCCGCCGCCGTGCCTGGGTTGTGGGTCATAGGCCTCGTGGATGTTCGTTGGGGTCTCGTGAAAGCCTCTCGGGAGCCTCCTAGAGGCAGTTTTGAGGCCTCTGGGGATCGTTTTGGGGCCTCGTTTAGGCATCTGGGGGGGAGCATCTTGAGGCCTCTTGGGGGGCCTCTTGGGGGCCTCCTCGGGGCTTCTTGGGGCCGGAGGCTCGGATTTTCGGTTCGCGTTCCCCTTCTTGGGCCCCTCTTGAGGCTGTCTGGGGGCCCTCGTGGGCCGTCTTGGGCGCCTCTTGGGCCGTCTTGGGCGCCCTGTGGGGCCGTCTTGGGGCCCTCTTGGAGGCTTCTTGGGCCGTCTTGGAGTGGTCTTGGAGGCTTCGAGGGACGTCATGGAGCGGCGGAAGGCCGAAAAGGCGAGAACACCAAAATCCTCCACAGATTTTTTCCGAACATTTATGATTTGGCCTGTTGGAAGTGCTCTTGGAGGGCTCTACAGCCGTCTTGGGGCTATTTTGGGCGTCTTGGAGCGATCTTTCAGAGACTCGGGGCCTTCTTGAACCGTCTTGGGTGCGTCTTGGGGCCCTCTTGGGTCGTCGGGGGACCCTTAATCCCCCCCGGCCTGGGGGGGGGTCAAATTCCCAGTTTTGGGGCCCCTGGGGGGTGGGTGAGAAAGAATTTTTGGAGGGGAATCTCACGCGCCCAGAGACCCACGAGGGGTCGGCGGATCTGCGAAAGCCTTGGAAGTGCGCTCACGCGCCCGCGACCGCCGCTAAACAGGTAGACAAGATGTTCGCGCTCGCGGGCCAGGCGCTAACTGTAAGAGATGTCGCATGCGAGGTAACCTCTTTTCTCTCCTCTCCACATCCTCCCAGCAGCTTGGCAGCGTGCAGCTAAACATCTGTTCAACTTTTGTGTTTAAACCAGCTGGAGGCGCAAAGTCCGGCCTCACTGAGAGGATCAGCGGGGATAAACATTGAGCAGTTGTTTGCATGGCTAATTTAACCTGTGTATTCAGTCGGATCCGCAAAGGACGGCCTCACTGAGAGGATCGACTGTTTAAACGCAGATTTTAAACAGTTGAATTCGTTTCGCTTTTAACCCTTCGCTGTACGCTGCGCACTGGCGAAAGCGGTCTGGGTACATGCCCTAACGTCCTGCTCTTCCTCTTTCTCCTCTCGTTCCTCTTCGTCTCACTCCTCGACGACGACGACAACATTGACGGACGACGGACGACGACGACGACGTCGACGACGACGACGACGGGCGACGGACGACGGACGACGGACGACGGACGACGGACGATGGACGACGGGCGACGGACGACGACGACGACGACGACGACGACGACGACGACGACGACGACGACGACGGACGACGGACGACGGACGACGGACGACGGACGACGGACGACGGACGACGGACGACGACGACGACGACGACGACGAAGTCCAGCGGCCTGGCGGTTTGATGGCGTCGCCGCGCCGGTCGGCCGAGCTGCACGCAGCGGTTCCGAGGGGCCCCGGGGGGCACAGAAGCTGCCTCCGGCCGCCCTCTCCCTCGTCGTCGTCGTCGTCGTCGTCGTCGTCCTCGTTCTCCTTGTCGTCCTCCTCGTTCTCCTCCCCGTCCTCCTCCTCGTTCTCCTCCTCGTCGTCCTCCTCGTTCTCTTCGTCGTCCTCCTCCTCCTCGTCCTCCTCCTCCTCTTCCTCCTCCTCCTCCTCCTGCGAGTTTTCTATCCGATTCGACGACGTACCACGATAATGAGATGCACATATGGGGATCCAAAGAAATGGGGTTCTTGTTATTGGCGGACCGCGCCGGAGGAACAGAGAGAGAACATAACACCACCTCACCTCCTCTCTCTCAGACCCACTCAGACTCAGTCATCACTCAGACTCCCTCATCACTCAGACTCAGTCAGTCACTCTGACTCACGCATCACTCAGACCCACTCATCACTCATACCCACTCATCACTCAAACCCACTCATCACTCGGACTCAGTCATGACCCAGACTCATCACTCATCACTCAGACTCACTCATCACTCAGACTTTCTCATCACTCAGACTCACTCATCACTCAGACTCACTCGTACTTGTACTCATACATTCACTACCTTCACTCAGGTCCACTCATCGGATGACTCACACACACTGATGTTGAGGGTGTGTCAGGCGATTCTATGGCTTCAGCACTCCTAAGGGGAGCGGCGGGGGGGTATTTCCCTCGGCCCCTTTGGCGGGATTTTTGTGGGGATGTCTTAGGCGGTTCGGCCATTCTCTCTTCTAACATGTTTCGTTTTCGGAGCAGTTTGCGAGGATGTCTCAGGCGATTCGCTGGTTTCAGCACTTAAGGGGGGCGGCGGGGGGGTATTTCCTTCGGCCCCTTTTGCGGATTGTTCCCCATATCCTAAGTATGGTTTTTTTGTTATTGGCTGACCGCGCCGGAGGAAAGAGAACACACCACTCCTCTCACTCAGACCCATTCACTCATCACTCAGACTCACTCATCACTCAGACCCACTCATCACTCAGACTCACTCATCACTCAGACCCACTCATCACTCGGACTCAGTCATGACTCAGACTCATCACTCATCACTCAGACTCACTCATCACTCAGACTCACTCATCACTCAGACTCACTCATCACTCAGACTCACTCGTACTTGTACTCATACATTCACTACACTCACTCAGGTCCACTCATCGGATGACTCACACACACACACTGATGTTGAGGATGTCTCAGGCGATTCTGTGGCTTCAGCACTCCCAAGGGGAGCGGCGGGGGGTATTTCACTCGGCCCCTTTCGCAGGATTTTGTAGGGATGTCTCAAGCGGTTTGGCCATTTTCTCTTCCAACATGTTTCGCTTTCGGAGCAGATTCGGAGGATGTCTCAGGCGATTCGCTGGTTTCAGCACTCCTAAGGGGAGCGGCGGGGGGGTATTTCACTCGGCCCCTTTCGCGGGATGTTGTGGGGATGTCTCAGGCGGTTTGGCCATTTTCTCTTCCAACATGTTTCGCTGACGGAGCAGATTTGGAGGACGTTCGCGCCCAGTTTGAGGGGATGTCTCAGGCGGTTTGGCCGTTATGATGCTGGGCATCTGTCGTTTTCAGAGCAGTTTTGGGAGGATGTCTCAGGCGATTTGCAGGTTTCAGCACTCCCAAGGAGGAGGAGGAGGAGGAGGAGGAGAAGGAGGAGAAGGAGAAGGAGGAAGAGGAGGAGGAGGAGGAAGGAGGAAGCGAGGAGGAGGAGGAAGAGGACGAGGAGGAGAAGGAGGAGGAGGAGAAGGAGGACAGCATGAACACGGTAGGAGCAGAAGCAGGAAGGGGAGGATGATGATGATGATGATGATGATGATGATGATGATGATGATGATGATGATGATGATGAGGAGGAGGAGGAGGAGGAGGAGGAGGAGGAGGACGTGGGCAACTCGAGTAGCCAGGGCCAGACGATCGCGGTTCGATGTTCCAAGGCTTTAGGTTTTACTAAAACGCTTCCGCCTCACTCTCCTTCGCTCTCCGCTCTCCTTTACTCTTCTGCATTCATACTCACTCATACTCAGATTCAGTCACACGCAGGCTCACTCGCACTTAGACTCGCTCATATCCATACTTAAACTTACTGACACTCAGACTCACGCTCAGAACCACTCATACTCAGACTCGCTCCTGCTCAGACTCATCATCCTTCGGTCCGCTCAAACGCAGACCGACTCACACTCAGACTGCCTCACATCCATACCCAATCACACTCGGCTCACTCGCACTCAGATTCATTAGCACACACGTTTTCTCACACTCAGACCCACTCAAGCCCAGACTCACTCATGCTCAGACTCATCATGCTACGATCCGCTCAATCACAGACTGGCTCACACTCAGTTTCGTCCATACTCATACCCACTCGCACACAGACGCACTCGCGCTCATATTATTTACTCACACGCATACCCACTCAAACCCAGGTTCAATCGCACCCAGATTAACTCACACTCAGAACCAGTCGCTCTCAGATTTGCTATTGGTCGCACTCGTGCTTGCAGACTGTGGGGATGTCTCGAGCGAGCGGTTCGCCCTCGCACACAGGCGCTCATTGACAGATATCAAAAGAAAGACGTGCCAAGAGAATGGGATGCACATATGGGGAGCCCCGCGTCGAGTAATTGTGGGGATGTCTCAGACGGGTTTGCCTTTTTCTCCTCCAACACGTTTCGCTTTCGGAGCAGATTTGGAGGATGTCTCAGGCGATTCGCTGGTTTCAACACTCCTAAGAGTAGCGGCGGGGGGGTATTTCCTTCGGCCCCTTTCGCGGGATTGTGTGGGGATGTGTCAGGCGGCTTGGCCATTTTCTCTTCCAACATGTTTCGCTTCCGGAGCAGATTTGGAGGATGTCTCAGGCGATTCGCTGGCTTCAGCACTCTAAGGAGAGCGACGGGGGGGTATTTTATTCGGCCCTTTTTGCGGGATTTTGTAGGGATGTCCCAGGCGGTTTGGCCATTTTCTCTTCCAACATGTTTCGCTTTCTGAGCAGATTTGGAGGATGTCTCAGGCGATTCGCTGGTTTCAGCACTCTAAGGGGAGCGGCGGGGAGGTATTTCATTCGGCCCCTTTCGCGGGATTGTGTGGGGATGTCTCAGGCGGTTTGGCCATTTTCTCTTCCAACATGTTTCGCTTTCGGAGCAGATTTGGACGACGTTCGCGCCCAGTTTGCGGGGATGTCCCAGGCGGTTTGGCCGTTATGATGCTGGGCATCTGTCGTTTTCGGAGCAATTGTGGGAGGATGTCTCAGGCGATTTGCTGGTTTCAGCACTCCCAAGGAGGAGGAGAAGGATGAGGAGGAGGAGGAGGAAGAGGAGGAGGAAGAAGATAAGGAGGAAGCGATGAGGAGGAGGACGAGGACGATGACGAGGAGGAGGAGGAGAAGGAGGACAGCATGAACACGGTAGGAGCAGAAGCAGGAAGGGGATGATGATGATGATGATGATGATGATGATGATGATGAGGAGGAGGAGGAGGAGGAGGAGGAGGAGGACGTGGGCAACTCGAGTAGCCAGGGCCAGACGATCGAGGTTCGATGTTCCAAAGCCTTAGGTTTTACCCAAACGCGTCCGCTTCACTCTCCTTCGCCCTCCGCTCTCCTTCAATCTTCTGCATTCGTACTCACTCATACTCAGACTCAGTCACACGCAGGCTCACTCGCACTTAGACTCGCTCATACCCGTACTTAAACTTACTCACACTCAGACCCACGCTCAGAACCACTCATACTCAGACTCGCTCCTGCTCAGACTCATCATCCTTCGGTCCGGTCAAACGCAGACCGGCTCACATTCAGACTGCCTCACATCCATACCCAATCACACTCGGTTCACCCGCACCCAGAGTCATTAACACACACACAGTTTTTCTCACACTCAGACCCACTCAAGCCCAGACTCACTCATGCTCAGACTCATCATGCTACGATCCGCTCAATCACAGACTGGTTCACACTCAGATTCGTCCATACTCAGACCCACTCGCACACAGACGCACTCGCGCTCATATTTGCTCACACGCATACCCACTCAAACCCAGGCTCAATCGCACCCAGATTAACTCACACTCAGAATCAGTCGCTCTCAGGTTTGCTACTCAGCACTCCTAAGGGTAGCGGCGGGGGGGTATTTCACTCGGCCCCGTTCGCGGGATTTTGTGGGGATGTCTCATGCGGTTTGGCCAGTTTCTCTTCCGACATGTTTCGCTGTCGGAGCAGATTTGGAGGGTGTCTCAGGCGATTCGCTGGTTTCAACACTATAAGGGGAGCGGCGGGGTGGGTATTTCATTCGGTCCCTTTCGCTGGATTTTGTAGGGATGTCTAAGGCGGTTTGTCCATTTTCTCTTCCAACATGTTTCGCTTCTGGAACAGATTTGGAGGATGTCTCAGGCGATTCGCTGGTTTCAGCACTCTAAGGGGGGCGGCGGGTGGGTATTTCATTCGGCCCTTTTTGCGGGATGTTGTGGGGATGTCTCAGGCGGTTTGGCCATTTTCTCTTCCAACAGGTTTCGTTGTCGGAGCAGATTTGGAGGACGTTCGCGCCCAGTTTGCGGGGATGTCTCAGGCGGTTTGGCCGTTATGATGCTGGGCATTTGTCGTTGTCGGAGCAATTGTGGGAGGATGTCTCAGGCGATTTGCTGGCTTCAGCACC